GAGGAGAGTTAGTGTACTCCTCAGATTCGTCGACCAAACCAACAGGTCAAGAAAAAAAAAAGGAAATCAAGGAGACGAAGGAACAAGTTGAGGAAGAATTTCCAAAGAAGATGAAAAAATATGAAGGAGAAAAAAAACGGGAGGTCATGTGGCTGCCAACGGAGACATCATTGAAATCGTTGGTCGTGCGAGAATCTAGAAAATAAAAGAAAAAGAAAAACAATGCGTTTGAGGGAGGAAACACGTATGCAAATGTTGAAACTGAAAATGGAAATTGGACTTGCAATAACTGACAAATAGGAGGAAATACTTACTCATCGACATGATTGCTCGGTAGTTGGAAGAAGTTGTGGTGGTCGATGACGAAGTTGTGGTGGCGTGAACTTAGGTTTTTGCAGATAGAAGCACCGGGAAAATACATTGCAAAGAGATTTTCGGAAAGGTGAAAAAAATAGAAAAAGGGACCAAAGTTATGTATTTATAGGCAAAAAGGAATAAGATCTCGACAGGTCGATCAATCTCGACTGTTTGATTGAAGGTGAAGTAAATGGACAAGATTGAATAGTAGTAGGCGAAGAGGTGTTCGAGCAAGACCATTGGATTGAGGTTGAAATGGACGAATGAGATTGAAAAGGTCAATCGAAACGACAACTCATTCCAGACCATCGGTTAAAAGAAAAATCAGATGGATTGAATGAATATGACCTTTAATGGGTACACCGTATAAGGACGGCATGGGACGCGCGGCGGTTATGTCAAGAAGACGTTATACCGATTGAAAGGACGTTAGGTTGTCAGACAATATTTAAGAAATTTGAATTTTAAATTTTAAACTCGAGACCTTGACCTTCGCACGATAAAATTATCTCAAGTAAATAAAAGAAGGTATGAGCTAGGAGGTCAGATAGACAAGCACCGACCTCAACGAACGAGACCAAGGACGATGTTAATTTTAGACCGAGTTATTTTAAACCGACCAGAGTGGAGGGTGGGGGAGACCAGATGATATCAAATGTCATACCGGGTTGACTCGTCCCGAGAATCGGTTTGAATAAATGGGCAGAACCAGTAGGTTAATCAGAGATCTAGGACCCAAGAGGTTTAAGAGTCGCCAGGTCGACGATGAGTCTACATGTTGAAAGGCTTACCCATATGTCGAAATTCAGTCATTGGTTCGCCTAGTAGAAACTCAACGTCGAGGTGTACAGGTCCATGATGCAACCTGAAAAGCAGTCTAGCTCAAAGGAAGTCGAGTTGGTCGTACAATTAGACCATCTTATAAGGAAGACTAAAGTGGACAACTTACTTAATAGATAAGAAAGAATATTATTAGGATAAGAACCACACGTGGATAGTCCACGTGACCTAACAGAATCGAGCAATTTGAGCAGCTGGACAATATGAACATGTGTCGGGCATTCAGTAGCTCATCTGGGCAGTCTTGGGCAACAAGGTAACTACTTTATATATATATATATATATATATGGATTGATTCCAATGAGGACACATTCTTAAAGTGGGAATGTGAGATGTTGTTACACGAAACTGTATCAACATAAATGTACACCCCTATTCTGTGAATAATCGATGTAAGATAAATATGAATTTTTAGTGATTTTTGGGAGATGAAGATCTATCCCTTTTTCTTGATTTTTTGGTGTTTTTGTGTAAAAATAGATTGAAGAAATTCAAAGAAAGAAGCAGCTTGAAGCCCGTGAACGGCACCGCCTCAAAGGAATTGATCAGGAAGAGAAAAATTTAGAAATGGTCCCTTCAGACTTATCTAATTGCCCATCATAGGGGGTATTTATATTCTTTTTTGTCGGCACCGATATTATTACATGCGGTGTTATTATGGGGCTTTAGAAAAAAGATAAAACACGACAATTAATTTAATACATATCTACGTGTAATATCTTAATAAATGGGGCCAAAATTGGGTATCAACATGAGACTCATTTCTAGCCACTAGATTGGTCCAAGATGTGTGACAAAGATTTAACTCTTCATTTAAATAATAAGCCTTTATTTTATTATTTAATCCTTTATTTTTATTATTTTTATTATTTAAATATTATTTTGGCAATTGACTGTTGACTCCGACGTTGACCGTTGACTCATTGACTTCCAGCGTTGATTTCCAGCATTGACCGTTGACTTCCGACGTTGATCGTTGACTTCCGATGTTGACCGTTGACCCCTAGTATGCATTATGTGTGAAGTAAATATGCATCCAGTACTATGCACTTAATATGAACTAAATATGCATAAGATATGAATTATTTATGTAATCCCTTGCAACTAATAAATAACTTTGCAACTAGATACAACTAACATTGCAACTAAATATATCTAACATTGCAACTAAATATATCTAACCTTGCAACTACTGATAACTAACTTGCAACTGGATACAACTAACATTGCAACTACAGAGAACTAACCTTGCAACTACAGACAACTAACATTGCAACTAAAACACAAAGAACCTAGCAAAAACAGATAATTAAACTTGCAACTACAGACAACTAACATTGCAGCTGCAGATAACTAAACTTGCAACTATATTCAACTAAACTTGCAACTGCAAACAGTTAACCTTGCAACTACATACAACTAACACTGCAACTACAGACAACTAACCTTGCAACTACGGAAAACTAACCTAGCAACTTCAGACAACTAACCTTGCAACTAGATATAACTAACCTTGCAACTAGATAGAACTAAACTTGCAACTACATACAACTAACCTAGCAATTACAGACAACTAAATTAGCAACTACAGACAATTAACCTAGCACCAACAAACAACCTTGCAACTACAGAAAAAATAACATTGCAACTATATACAATTATACTTGCAACTAGATACTACTAACCTTGCAACTACAGACAACTAACTATGCAACTATCAATGGATATTCAAGCACAGAAAATAGCAAACCAAGAAAATATTCGAATAAATAGGGTCAACGGGTCAACGTCAGAAGTTAGCGATCAATGTCAGAAGTCAATGCCGGAGTCAACGCTCAATGACGGAAGTCAACGATTCTTGCCAAAAATCAACGCCAGAGTCAACTTTATTATTTTTTTATTTTAATTAATGTATATTTTACGTGATGTTGATCTAGACAAAATAAGTGGCTAAGATTGTACAGCCGGGTCCAATCTAGTATATATATATGGTGAGATATGTCCATCCACACTCTACACACAATTACATACTTACAAGCTATACTGCTACTGTTCATCATCACATAATGACTTGGTCGTCAGGGTCTCTATGCCGGGACACTTCTCGATGTTGTTTTGCAGGTCTACTGAACCGGTCGAGAGAAGATTCAGATTGTTCCAGTCCGGTAGAAGTTGTTTTACACACCACATAGTAAAATTTGAGGTGAATTTGGTAAATTTATAAGCCAAATGTTTTTTTTTTTTTATAAATCCCAACGAAAATTAATGTACAAAATGTTACCCAATTTAGGTGAATGACAAATCAAGAAAAAACAACATAAGAAAGAGTTTGTGAATCTCAAGGTTGCAACCATCTTCAGATTAAACCGTAGAAGGTTACAAACATTAGGGAAATGTTGTAGATACCTTGACAAGTTCCCCGCTCATAACACACACCCGCTGCGCTATCACTATCCTCTCCAGTCACTGCCGCTGCAGAAGCTCCATGGGCAACGCTGCCGGGTCGAGCTCCAGACACCCTCCCGGCGTCACCACCTCCTGGTGCGGCACCCTGTGCGAGAAACGGAACATCTCCTCCCTCACTATCCTCATCACTACACCCGACCTCGGCTGGAACACCGTCCTGTACCCACCCACCTTCTCAAGCGGAGCAACACTCACCTCCGCTTCTTTGTACTCCTCCACCACCCACACCACCTCGTACTCGTGGACCACGTCCTCGGGAGTCTCCACGCCCCACTCGGGCGACCAGTTCCGGTAAAGGGCCCACACCTCCCCCTTGTTCGGAAATATCACCACGGCCCCTCGCGCTCCCTTTGTCCACCTTACCCTGTGTGAGAACGCGTTGACAAAGCCGCAAACCTCGTACTTTCCAATGCGGAAGTCGCCGCACGTCTTGGGGAAGCCTGAAGCGACCCAGTCGAGGGGACCGAACTCGAGCGTCGTCTTGGAGTTGAGCCAACTCATCTCCAGTTCGAAGGGGTTCCTCGACAGCACTCGGTGGACCATTGCGTATAAACGGGGCATTCCGTCGTCGTCGTCGTAGACGGCCCACACCTGATTTTTCGCAAAAGACTGCTCCGTCCTGTCCCGGTCAAAATTGTAGAAGTCGGGGTCCGGGACTTCCATGCTTGCCCCAGAGTACTTGTCGTCCAACCTCTTGGGTTTCTTGTTGCTGCTGCCCTCTGTTTTGGAAGCATTGTGTGCCCTATCAGCATCGGATGTTGTACGAGCATTTTTTCCTCCATCATTTGCTGATGGCGGAGCATACTTGTTCGGGATATGCTGCTCCACTGGGCGCCCTTGTCCGCCCGGGTGAGGAATTTCGGTGGCCAAGAACGGCTTCTGGCAATCAATGCATAGGAGGAGTTTATTGTGGTACATCATGTCGTACTCGTACCTTATGTCACAATCACAGCAGGCGGTCCAAAAAGTAGATGAAGAAGGGGACGGCTTCACATTCACCTTCTTTTCTGGTGACGATGCTTCGGGAGCTGGCGCTTTTCTGTTCACCAACTTTGAAAATAAGCTTCCTTCCACGCCATTACGTGTGTGAGGGTTAAACGGGTCGTCATTATGGGAGAAAGGGTCACCGTGATGGGCCGACCAACCGTAACCCGCTGGACCATCAGCTCGTGTCAATGAGCCGTCAGTTTGTGGCAACAGGCCACCAGCATGAGCAGAAGGGCCAGGCCTATGGCCACCAGGATGTGATGCCGACAGGCCACCGAAAAGCGTAGGATCCTGTGCATGGAAGCCTGCCACGCCCATGGATAGGTCATGTGCCAACCTATAGGTCTCGTCTGATAGCAAAGTCCAGCCATCGTTAATCAGCTTAAATGCATCTCCAGCACAAGGCAAGCGATTCTTGTCTGGGTGCAACACAAGAGCCAGTTTCCGGTACTTTTTCTTTATCACCTCGACTTCAGCCATGGGGTCCACGCCAAGCACCCGATACCAGTCAATATCCCCATTTATGTTCCTCTCGGCAGCCAGGATAACATCAAGGGTTGTCAGCATCTGTGAAATGCCGTCGAGCTCTGGGAACAGAGTTTGCGCTGTCAGTGCAAACCTTCTCGAGCCGGCGTAGTCTTTCTGATCAAGCTTTGCTTCGGCTATTGATTTTGCCCGTGTGGCTTCAGCCTTATTGCACTCCATGCTTCACGAGTCTTTTTGGATTCGAGACGATACTGCCAAGCACCCGATTCCAAGAAAAAAGAAAAAGGAATGCTGTTAATGTAAGTAATGATTTTATCAAGTGGTTAGCTAAAAGTGAACTGTGTTGCAGATATTCACTTACATAATCTAGTGCAGAACAACATGACTTACATGAGATATGATAATGAAAACAGAGAGAATAAAATAGATACACGAATTCGTTACGAGAGATCTAAAGAATTATTTGAAGCAAATCGATGCAGAACCACGTGAGAGTATGACACAGAGTTAGGAGGGTCTTATGATCTCGACATGCAAAGTACGTAGAAACGAACACGATATCAAAATATCGTGCTTAACCTCGCAAAACATATTGTTCTATACGAGCTTGCAAGTACAAAATGTGTCGTGAATAAAATGTATCTACGTACCACTGATGATAATTAATACTCGGAAGCAGCACACACTGAGATATGAGTATAATTCGGAATAAATGATTCTATACAGTGGTATAAAAGTTTAAGATTTCCGCTTACGAACGTCATTTCTGAGAATATCCCATACATTATTATATCTCCGGATAATGAAATTAGCGCCAAATTTTATGCAACGACTAATAATTTAACTTCCGTTATATATTTAACAAAAATGCCTTGGGCACTGGCATAAAGGAGATTGTAATTTGGAAAGACAAAATCCCAATTTGACGACATATCGCTGATTTAGCAGCATCCATAAAGGAAAGAGTGTATCAACTAGTCAAAACGGGACGGATTGAGAGTCGTTTTATTATACAAACTCGTTTGGAAACACATGCAGATTATAGGTGACTGTTTTTGATTATGTGTTGTTTATGGTCAACTCAACATGAAAATTGTGTTTGGACGCAGTCTACAACAGTCAACCCAAAACGTTAAACCGATAGTCTTGTTTCACACGTGTCGATAACGGCCAGAACCATTCAAAAAAACAAAGTCGATTACTTTTCGCGCTTGTTGGATAACGGGAGACTAGAAAAAAAAAAGTTTAGATTGCCGACAGAATTAATAACTCGAATCTTTTAAAAAGACTACTGTGTCATAACACGTGTTTGATACGCGAAATCGATCAAACGAACACCTAATAATGGCAACTTTAAACAAGTTTCGAGATTGTATCCATGAAACTAATGAAGGTTATAATGGAATGAACACCCTGAAGCCTGTGCATATATAAACTCAGAGTCTCTGCAGCTAAAGACATTCAAAATTCTATTGAAAACCACATGAAAAAAGGACAAGGCATGCTAACTAACACAAACATCATATATAATGAACAGAGACGAGAAAGGAGACGACGTACAAAAAATGAACTAAAAAAAAAATGTACGAAAAACGAATAAAGAAGCATCAAAAACAAAAATGAATGGAAAATGTACATATATAGGCAGATCAAAATCACATTTCTCAAGCAACACAAAGAGAAGAAAGAACACTTGCAAACCTGACAACCCAAGATAAGGCTTAATTTCTCCCGATCTGCACGATTAAACGAGATAAAGTCGGTCGAATTGAACGTCACCATTACAGAATCTACGTAAAATTTGCAGAATGAAAGAGGAAAGAGTTACACTGAGTTACCATAAAACTGATACCTTCACAAGAATTAAAGAGTGGCTAAATAGTTAAGCTTAATTCTGGTGTAAGAAGAAAAGGTGGTGACTAAAATCTGACAAAGTTCTAACAGTAACAGTGGTTATTCATGACATTTAGTGTTAAATATTTTTGTTACATTTCAAACATTTGTACATTTTTGTTATCTCATCATTTATTGTGTCCATCCTAATTAACTGAATATGACCTTTCTTTTTAATTTCTAATATGTCAACTTTTTGTAATCTTTACTTTTGATTTTATGTTTAAACTACAGAAAATCCATCCCATTTGAATGAATCATCAGTAAGCTATAAATTCTGAATAAATTTGTTTTCATATTGTCTACATTACTCAAATTTGGATTCAAAGTAATTTAATTTTTTTTTTTTATTATCAAAATAATTCGAAATCTAGTAATTTTTTTAATATGATTATGTAGATTTATTTTGTCATTTCGACAATTGAGAAAAGTCTTAAACTTTTTTTCCTTTTCAATAGACTTAGTACAAATAGGAAAGACAAACATGTTCAATGAGCATATTAAATTTAGGTGACTACTTTTGTTTTCACACATATAATATTGATATGAAATATTAATGGTGTTTTGTCCACTTGAACGTAACAACTCAAACGGATGGTGATAAGTTGAACAGAGACAATTATATGCCTAACAACAATGAAACTCAATAGAAGGGTTGTAATAACAAATTGAAAAGTGATTTTGTGCCTTTTATTTTATTTTATTATTCAACAAACACAATAATAAACTTCATTCAAAAACTCAACAGCATAGTATATTCGACTAGTCCAATGACTGCGAATGCAGTAATTCTAGAAAACCAGAACACTATCACACGGGGAGGCAAAAATTTGCATCCCCTCAACAGCCACTTTGGCTAAAGTCATACATTGAGAACACATAGAAGCATTAAAACAAAGATACAATTCTGAAAAGAAGATAATAAAGCATAAATGTCTTTAACAATAATGCCATAAGCACAATTGAAGGAATGTTGATTCTGAAGTTTTGAGGCGAAGCCCTTGTCATCAACACAACATCTAATGTACTGAAGCTTGGACTTTACTGCACTTTCTAGAAGCAATCTGACAACCAGAAGATTGCCCTCTTCCTATGTTCCTGCAAATGTCCTATCATCAAGCAAGTTGTGTGTCAAAATCCCTGCACTGATAACACCACCTCCAAGACCCATGTATCCTGAAGTGGTAGATAGAGCACTGACAGCTAATAAAACTTGCCTTACTCCCAAACAACCATCTCCCACCTTAGTTTTCCTCCCTCTCTGGTCACTACAAGAAATGTCAATTTTAACTAGACAAAAATTTCTAGCTAAATCCAAAAATTTCTAGCTAAATCCGTTTACCTATAAAATAGCTAGACAAAAATTTACCAACAAGTACTTTACCTACAAAGATCAAGGTAAATGTCTAGTTAAAATTGACATTTCTTGTAGTGGGTTTTGATTTAGTGATTGTCTGCTCAAAATCCTTTTAGCCTCTAAGATTGCAGTATACTCTGACAATCCTCCCAAGCACTCATAACAATCACAACCTTAGGTGTACACGCATGTTCAAACAGTCAACCATTCATAGTCTTCTAAAGCCATCAGAAAAGGTAGCTTGAAAGACTAATTCTATCACAAAGGCTTGCACTACTTCTTTTGGAACAGATTACAAACTACCAGTTTTAAAATGAGGCTTTTCCTAAATTCAAGCTCTGCCAATTGATACCCACCAGCTTCCAACAAGTCTTAGCCATGTGTCACTTAAAGTGTATATAATCTAGATCCTCCGTCTCCTCCCCACAAACTGCACACCACACATCCCAATCCAAACCTCTCTTTTGCAAGTTCACTATAGTGCTTACAAACCCAAACTAGCATTTTCACAAGATGTTCTTGATTTTGCATTTGATGGAAAGTCTTCATGTGGTTCTCCACATCTACTTGGTTAACAAATGTGTTGTACTAGACCCTGCCTCCTCCTTTGCACTCCACTGTATCAGATACTTTTAGACAACCTTTACAGTAAGCTCACCTTTGACACGCCGGTGCCATATAAGTCTATCGTTTTGCCCACTGTGACTTAACAGAATCTATATATATTGAAAGAGGGAAGTAAATAAATCAATTGTGGAAACTTTTAAAAAAATGTTTTCACTTTCCATTTGTGGAAAGTTGTTGAATGACCGAAAATTAGGAACTTATCTCTTTAGATGACCGAATAAAAATTCATCTTTATCACTTTGAAGCATAAAATACTCAACAACTTATCTCTTTAGAGGACCAAATAAAAATTCATCTTTATCACTTTGAAGCATAAAATACTCAACAAAATTAAGATTCATCCTAATCTCTACCCACGTTTTAAAAAAAATTCTATATAAAATGATAACACTACATCTATTCACTTTTATTCTTTTTTTTTTGACCCCTTCAACACACATCTTCAACACCCACTAAAGTTGAACACAATTTACAATATACAAAAATTATTATATGGCACTCTTCAGGGGTACATTGGACTCCGTGAGTTGATCCAACAAACCGATTTTGAAGTTGAGAGTAGTCCAACTGCATGAAACTCATGACGATCCGAATTATCCAAACACTTTTCATATCCTGTTCCATGATGAAAGGGTAATTATTTTCAACCATTTTATCATTAAACAATATTACATGAATATCTACTATCATACTTCAACTGATTTTTCATTTGTTTTTTTTTTTTGGCTATTTCTTATTTCAAATATGTTGTAGGGTTCATACATGAAAAGAATAATACGTTCGCATCATATGATCGTATTTCGAGATCGCCTTAAACAAGGAAGCTTGTATTTTATTCGCAACTACGATGTTAAATATAATAGTGGGAAGAACAATATAATAATTCATCGTTGGAAGATTGTCCTTCATGGAAGGACAGATTTTATGGAATACAATGGGAATTTTCCTCATTACTAGCAAGGATAGAGATATGGTTACCACTCCAATTTCTTCCGTTTTTATTATATATCATTTGATGATTTTTTATTAAATTTATTCCATGTCATATTGCGAATTGGAGGATTATTATATTTTATCGTTAATATAATACAATATTTATTAGTTCATTTTTTCGGATCATGGTGTACTTGCATACAGTTATAATATTTTTTTTTCTAAATGATTTAATATTAAATTAATATAATTTTGACCACATCCACTTAAAAACAGAATAACAAATTTTTAGTATATATGAAAACATTTTAAACATTATCGAGTTTTAAAGAATTTAATACAATATTAGACTTTATAAATTAGCTTAATATTAATATTATAAACGTAGAGTAACTTCATAGATTATCTT